GAGCTCCAATTCTAAATTACTCGAATTATCTCCCCATGTTTAAGGCAAAATGTTAATCAATTGATTCGATTACTGACAAATCAATTAATCATTTGTGCCGAAGCTAGCACCTCAATTCATTATTATTATATCAAAATAAGTTCAACCGGCCAGGTTTAACATAATAATCTTTCAAGAACTCACTTCGGGGATATCATCAACCTCGACCATCAAAGGTACATAGTGACCGTAGATATTATAACAACCCACCATGTCATGCAGTATTACTACCCAACTCAATCGGTTATTAATCCTGACAGAATGAACCTTACCATGATGAATCAAAGTAGTAAATACTACATACATGTGTCTGTTTATATCTAACAGGCTAAGAGAATGCAATAATTAGTCGAGGCCTAGTTCGTTTACGCCGATCAGTTTAAACCGAGATGCTCCTCTCTGGGATCCGTTTAATACATAATTGTACTAGTGCAACTAATCAGTCTATACCGACTATACCGTTCACACTACAACCGTTCTGATGGCTTGTTCTATTTCCATCTAGTTTGTGAATCAATTTCTTTATGTTTCGAATGTTACTGATAAATGATCTTATGTCCATCCGTGATGAACCATTTATCTAAGCGCAAAACAATAGAACATAGAACTTGTTCAACTAAACATGAATTCTCATTCAAACGGGAATAGTGTATCTAAAGCCAAGCTTTCAGTATATACACCAACAATCTCCAACTTATACTTAAAGCTTTTACTTTTACCAGTATACTTCTTTCAATCTCTATTCTCAAAGAAATATTTTCCTAACTGTCACACATCCGACTCCCCAATCCCATAACATGGCCATCAAGAGCTTTCGCAAAAAATCCAATTCCAAAAGGAATTTCTTGATCGTCTACTAATGTTACTAGGCGAAAAAACTCTACCCCTTTGCGATTTATCGCATTGGGCCGTGCTCTATGCATTCACTTTCTTTATGAACATGCGATTCCTTCTCGTTAGCAACTGTACCAACTGTCATCACAATAAAATTGTGACTTGACTTTGGCAAACAAGGATTTAACAATTCTTGTTCAACAGAGGTTACCAGAATTCGAACCTCTCCCATCGCTTGCTCTTTAGCCGGTGATGGAACGAGGTTTCATGGTGGAATCTGTCAATGGATTATCGTTCTACATTCCTCCATACATTGGTTCCACCTCACAAGTGAACAGAAACCCCTTAGGTAGATTCTACTTATTGTTCACATCTAACTAGAAATTAGAATAATTTGAAATCCATACGTTGCATGTTGTCCTGTTTGTAACCCTGCATATTATCCTTAGCCAAGTTACGGTCGCTTGATCATATGTTCCACCACGAACCAATGCGCCTATCTAGGATTACTTTGATATCTATTAACTATGCCCATAAGAAATTGCCTTTGTGTTATGTATGCTACGGATGAGCCTTATGCCAGTCCATATATATAAAGCTTGAGAGAAGTGCAATATTTCTCCCTTGTGATCTTTTAACCTCAAGATCATGTGTTGATTCTTCTGTGACCTCAAGATCATGTGTTAATTCTTTAGAAAGCTTCATATCTAACTACTTGGAGAACCATATTTCTGCGTCTGACAGAACCTTCACACTGTCTATAGTTAATCAAAATGTCGTTTACGCATAGTACTAAATATATCACCACGCTTTACATACGCACAATGCTCATTTGATGACTGATCAAATCCACACACATGATAAACAAAATGTACAGGATGACATAACTTACTTCAATCCACAATTGGATTGTTTCAGTTTTATTGACTAGATGCTCTTAGCAATCTACAGTGGTACTTTCTAGGTGTTGGTTCATGGACATTTCTACAAGACCTTTTTCTTGATATCCACAATGCCATGCTCATAACCCATACAAGCGGCCACACCTTTAAAATTCATAGACTCAAGTATGGCTACCGGTGAAAAAGTCAACTCATAATAGATCTATTTTCTTTCTGAGTCTACTATTTCACTACAAGCCTAACCTTAGAGTTTACACGATTTTACTTGTATATCCATTACATCCAATGGACATATGCCACTTGGTGGTTCTACAAGATCCCAGATATAATTAGAGTTCAAGACCCTAAATCAGAAGACATTGTAGTTTGCTAAGTTCTTGTATCCTGTCTAGAAATGTCTCATTGTATAACAAGGGATTTATTTCACATTCACCATAGACTAAGTCCAGAGGCTTCTCTCAAGAACATGAATTCATAGTTTTTTGCTTACCAGAGACCGAGTCCATAGACTCTCTCATTAATCATGAATCTAGGACAACCGCCTTGCAACACTCCCACTACAATGAACATCTCATCATATAACCCGAGATTTATTTCACATTCACTAGAGACTAAGTCTAAAGACTTTCTCAAGAACATTAACTCCGTGGCTGCCTTGAAACCATCCCACTACGATAAGGTACTTCGATAAAGGGGTATTAATAGTGAAGCGTGTTTGCATTTTTATTGTGGTATAACATTTTATACACATAGTAACGAAGTTTAAACATTTACCTTAATCTTTTCTTATGACAATTCTATAAATGGGCTTGTGGTTTATCACTTAGTATTCCTCTAAAAATCATGTATTTGTTTTGAGAATCACCTTTTGATTTTAGATGAAATAAAATAAACCACCTTTCTCGTTATTATGGAGTATGACAAACACAACCGATTTTCTAAACAACTTTCCTATCTTATCAGTATCAACTTTTCAGCCGAATGCCGAAAACACTTCAAATTCGAATATGTCCTGACTGGGCCTAAACAATGCCCATAATCATTTCGATGTAGAAGGTACTGATTGAGATGAAACTATGTTTAGAACTTATGTTGTTGTCTGTACAACCTCAAAAACGAAAAAATGAAAATTACTAGTAACTCATTATTGACTTAACCAATATACCTAAGAGACCTTATCTCTTATTGGTTTTAGTCGATGTGTCACTTATTTCCATTTATTGTATTGAATCATCTAGCCGTGTACCAAATGAATAAAATATTTCATTCTCAAGATAGCAAACTTACCATAAAAGAAAACGTAATATTCATACACAATTTAGAAATTGAAACTGAATTCTTTCTAAAACATGGTACGCAAAGATAATTTCTCAAAACCAAAATTCTATTTGTAGAAAACTCCCACTGCAATATCTGCCGCTTTAGTAGCATTGCCCATTCTAGATGGTAATCTACCTATCAACCAGTAGATTTCATTTACTTGAAAGATTTCGACTTTCTATTGAATAATATTTACCTTTCTTGTCTTAAGGATAGATTAGATCGACTAATATATCCAATTTGCTTCAACCAGATACACTCGCCCTTCGGCTCGTACTTCCAACAACTTAGGTCATTATCCAATTTCTTATTTCTAATCAATTTCGAGCATGTAAATTATCTTTGACAATAAAAGACAACAGATTGAAAGACATGCTCGAATATCCTTGAGAATCATGAAATAATTTTATTAATTAAACACTTTGAATTTAACTGCTAACATTGATATCCTAAAAATAATATTAACTTAAATTCATCGACACCTCAAAACACCGCGAGTAACAAGACGTAATGGGCGACTCTACGTACTCAACATTCCCAATAATTTTCATAAGCCAAAACCAAATTGATGGCGAACGAAACTAATAGTCGGTCTCCTTGTGGCCACACAATAAAAGTCAGGGACTCCGTTTTGGCTGTTATGAATTTTACTGCATTCTAAGTGAAACCCATTTCACGATCCTAAGGTCATCACATGAGGTTGTACGTCCCCAGTTGGCGCGATCCGCACACTCCATATAAATTTCTATAAACGGTATGATCCTAAGGTCATCATGTAAGATTGTACATCCCCGGTTGGCGAGGCCCGCATGCTCGAACACAATTTCCTACAACCAGGGGTGATTGTTTATAAATTCAACTAGATTTTAATTGGTTTTTTTAAACTATAGTTAATTTTGAAAAAAGGTGGTATGGTTAGTTGTTAGTGTATATATTAAAATAATATTTAAAATAAAATAATTAAAGTTGATATGATGTAAAAGTAGGAGAAAAATGATTGAAAGTGATGGTTAGTTAAAAATATGTGAGTTGATGAATAGTGAATTAGAGTTGATGTGATGTGTAAGAATGATTGGTTGATATTATTTAATTATATTGATAATATTGGAGATAGTGGAGTTGGGTTAAAGTAGAGTTAAATTTGAGTTCTGATTGATTTTTTATTTTTTTTTTTTTCTAGTTGAGATGATAAACAATCACCTTCTTAATGAAAGTTCATCTTGGTGATTTCCTACCATTAATCTCGGTAGTGTCACCGGTTAGCGGAGCCCATACTTTGCTTAAATTGATTCACCTGCAAACTAGAAATTAATGCCTTAGGACTTTAAAATTATCTTTAATTTTAAATATCCTTCTCAAACTTAGTATATTTTTTAATTAAAGATTTTTAATATACACAATTTCATAATTAATACATATCAGTATGCTAATGGTTAAGTAAACATGCATAGCAGTTACTATCAACTTAAATATCAAGGAAATAAATCTCACTATTATGGCCATTAATTAGAACTCTAGTTGAATTAGGAAAAAAATCAGTTCATGTCCTTTGGAACTGAATTCTCTTTATCAGCCTAAGATTTATTTTTCAGCACACTTCTTGTCAATTGGATTTATCGAAATCTCCGAGCTGCTTTCCGTTGTCGTGCATCTCCGTCAAAACACCCGCTGTGGCATCGCCATGCCCGGGTTGCCACCTAGTTTGGCTGAGTTGCTGTTGAGTCCAAGTGAGTCACATCTGGTCGTCGTTGACATTCTATTGCCGGGATGCACATTAGCCTCTCGTCACCGTGAGCGCCACCCATAGGCGCTGGCGGCATTGTGCGAACCCACTTAGGCGCACTACCGGGTCGTCGGGGCTGTCATGCTACTCCTGTGACTAACTTGCGCTGGGAAGACAGAGGATTGTCGGGTCACGCCGTGCTTGCAGGCATAACCGCTCGCAACGTGCTTTCAGGCGCCTCGTCAGCTCCCACTGCGCCTTTCATGTGCTCTATGGGCTTCTCATGTGCTCTCGTACGTTCTTCAGGTAACTTCTACCTCGTAGTTTTGTTATGATTTATTGTTATCTTTCTAATTCGTACTCTTTTCAGTTTTGTTCATCTCTTACTGGTTTATATCCCATTCATGCCTTGTCTGGACTTTCTCCACTCTAGGACGAAGAGCTTTTTGACGAGGGCTTCGCTGTGAAAGAAAAATGGTTGAAAGCCGAGCTCCATGCCCGAGAGCAGGTCTTTCACCGCGAACGGGCCATATTAAACGTCGTCGTCTCCAAAGTGAATAAGGAGGCCAAAATTTTGAGGGCCAAGCTGACTGCCCTCCAGACCAAGTTTGTCAGGCTCCAAGTTGAAGTGGAGAATGCTTTCCAGCTGTGGGCTCAACTAAGCCAACTGATTTCGTCGATGACCGAGTGCGAGGCCAAATCGCGCGAAGACGTCTTGGTTTCTTTACCCGAATCTGGCTTGAGGATGAGCTTTCTAGAGCTACCACCAAGAGATTCTGGCCTGCTTTAAAGATTCAAAGGAGTTTTTGCACTTGTTGGTGCCAGTTGTCTGACAATATTTGGAGGTCAGCACTTAATGGGCTAGAGATCAAGTTGTTGTCGGGGGCTATACCAGCGCTTCGATGATGACCGGATGTGGTTGTTGGTGTATATACTGAAAGTTTGCCTTAAGATGTTATTTACACTATTTCTGTTGAATGAGAATCGTGGTTGATTAAACAAGTTCTATGTTCTGTTGTATAACATTTAGATAAAATAGTTCATCACGAATGAACAGAAGATTACGTTATCAGTCACTTACAAAATAAGAATGATTGGTTCACAATCTTGATGGAAATGAATATCACCGAAATGGTTGTTGTGTCAACCGTACAGTTGGTCTTGACTGATTAGTTGCACTAGCACATTTATGTATTGAACATGATTCAGAAAGGAGCAGTTCATTTTATACTGATCGTCGTAAACGAACTAGTTTCGGTTAAATACTCCGTTCTTTTAACCCGTAAGATATAAACAGACACGTGCATGCAGTAGCTGCTACTTTGATTCACCAAAATCGAGATCCATTTTGCTGGGTCAATAGTCTTCGTGTTTTGGTAGTAGTGTTGTGTGATGGTGTGCTGTTAGAATATTTATGGTCACCATGTGTGTTAGTTTGATGATGTCCCCGAAGTGAACTAATGAAAGATTTTCATGTTAAACCTTGTAGGTGGATTAAGTTTCACCATAATAATAATGTTTTGAGTGGTACTATCATCGGTTCAAGATGTTGGTTAATTCTTGATTGTCAGTAATTGAATTAATTGATGGACATTATATCTTAAACATGGGAAGGTCATTCGGATAATTATAATTAGAGTTTCGAATATAATTTGGGAATGATGAGTGAGTGCAATAATGTTTTATTAGTGGATCGAAAAATTATTTAAGTCATTGACCGGAGTGGGCTTGGCCACATTTACGCCCAAGACTTAAGAAGCTCACATCATCACCTCCTTAGGGTCCTTGTTGTAACCCTATAAATACACCATGTATCTCTTGAGATTGAACATAACTCACACATATACATACACGAGTCGGCCGACCCTAGTTCCCGAGAGATCATCTCCGAGCTTGTTGCACACCAAGACAACTGGAGAGGTGTCGGGTCTTACAGAAGAAGTCCCCGATTGACGAGACCCCGACGACCGTCTGTGCACGACCTGCACGCTGCCAGGCCTGTTACTGCACGCTGCAGACTCGCGGCACCCTTGGTTACCCGACGCGCGACCCGCTCTCGTCCGCCGCAGACCCGCGAGGACATCGCGACCTGCAGCAGCCCACGAGCACCGCATCCACATAACCCGCGCAAAACCGACCCCGTCCGAATGCGTGATGTTCTCGACGACTCTGAAACATCCGAAGAAGGCAATTTTCGACGAGTGAAAAACCAGACGATCTCTATAAGCAAAAATCTACAGTGTCTTAGAGTCTGCATTTTTTAAGCCGTAATTGTTCAACTCTAAACCTTATAATCCGTTGCGCTATGGGTTTATTGTTGTTGTTCAATTCGTGACTTGTACTTAACGAGATCTTTACCGGTCCCAACAATAGCAAGGCCTCCCGCACCCTAATGGCTAGAAAGGTAACCCAGATGAACCTCACCACCATGCCTGGTGGGAGCCCGCGCTGGCAGCAGTCAAGCAACAGTTAGGCTGATTATGAACCTATCACCGTCTGGCGAGGAGGGGATCTCCTTCGCTCCCTAGTCTTTATTATACTTATCCTTTTATGTAACTGAACTGCCCAAACTTGGGCCTTTGTAATGACTTTGTTTATGTAATGAAGTGCTTCTTCTTTTACTTCTTGTTTCTCTCATCGTTTATTGTTTTGCTTTGGATATTTGTACAATGTGATCTTAATCCGCTAAATCTTGAGATTAGTTGTTTACTTCGAAAAAGACGTTGCGAATGTTCATCTAGATATCTTGGCGTTACTAAACACTTGTTCCAACTTTTCTTTTAATTATTTCATCTGTTTTTATGACCACGCTCACCATTCAGAACTTTTCTTTTAATTATTTCATCTGTTTTTATGACCACGCTCACCATTCATGACTGAATCGATCGATCTTCTCTCTTGGTCTTGACTTAAGAACTTATTCCCCGTGATACTTCAGAGCTTCCACCTTGGACTACTATTGTTTGTGACTTAAAACCTCTGGACTTCTACCCAGAGTTTTGCCTTTTTGCTAGTTTATCACGAGCTTCCACCTTGGACTACTATTGTTACACTTCTTGTTTGTGACTTAAAACCTCTGGACTTCTACCCAGAGTTTTGCCTTTTTGCTAGTTTCTTTGAATTCGTTGATTGTTACCTTGCTTTTTTTT